AATAATTCAATCATTGATTTCATTTGAATCACGTTTTCTCTCAATGGAAACACAATCCAAACGATTATATAATTGTCTTATTATTGATGTTTTTATTATAATAATCGCATATTTAATGTCTTTACACACTATATCATTATGTATTCATAAATATTGTTAATATTTTACCTGTATAATTTTAAACCCTAGTGAGAGAAAGAGAGAGAGAGAGAGGCTCTCCTCCTATTAAATGTAATATAATTTATGAATTGTTTTAAAAGAAATCATAAGAAAACTTTTTTTTGTGAAAAACATTTTAGTATTACTTTCTTCCTGTCTAAAAATAAAAATATTTTCCCAGAAATTAATTAAATTGTTGTAAATTATAATATACTGTTGAAAACAACTATTTTGTAATTATTTTATATTCATTACATAACTCGAAGATTTTGTATTAAATTATTGATCATGATTATTAATAAATAATTTAAAACACCCTTGTTAACTTTCAGTTTAAATTATAGTATAAAAATGTTAACAAAATCATTTACCATATTATTTGTATTTATACAATCACTACTAACTTTTGTCTATTCTCAACATGGTAAGATTTTAAAATATACTTTAATGTTTTTAAAAATAACACAATATAAACCAAAAGTATTAATCAACTATTTAAACATGTTTATATAATCTAACAATACATAAAACAATACTTAATGACTAAAATATGCACATCTCATTAATTAATAATTTATAAATAATTAATTTTAGTTATTAATTAATTAAATAATATTATTTATTACAGGCATATATGCCATCAAATCAATTGCAGGAAAAAAGGCTGCCATAGAGTGCGTGACCGACGGTTGGGATGAGAATGACGTTCAACTTGTGCTCTGGTATCGGGAGGACAGCGAATACGGGGCCGACGGGTCGGTGCCCTTCTATAGGCTGGACGCCCGACACCGACAACTGTTTAAAGCCAAACATGTGCTCCAAAACCAGTCACTGGAGCACCGGTTCGTGTTTGATGTGACGTTAACCCCACCCGCACTGGTTATACACCCGGTGCTGGTCAGCGACGAGGGCTGGTATAGGTGTCGAGTCGACTATAAGACCAGTCGGACACAGAGTTACAGCGCATACCTGGAGGTGATTGGTATGTATTTTGTGGTATTTTTCAATACAGTGTTATTAGACTTATAAAAGAAATACTTTAATTAGTGATGAAAATGTCAAAAACACTGTATAAAAAATCATATTTTGTGTATATAAAAAACATTTTGTTTGTGAGTAATTGCTGTATAATTTACATGTGCTGTTGTGTATCACCGGTAGGTCCGCCGGAAGAGCTCAAAATAGTGGACACTTCAGGAGCGGAGTTGTCGGGACTGATTGGGCCTTACGATGAGTTCGCCAATGTTGTGCTGGTGTGCGAGGCCAGAGCTGGTATGGCTTTTCATTATATAATTTATGATTTTTATAACATTTTAAACACTATTGTTTATTTAATAGTTTTTCAATCAGATTTATTTAATTTGTTTTAAATATAGTGACAAAAAAGTTTTTATAGTTAGTAAACATTATTTTTCAATATAACTTACATGAATAGCATGTTAAAATATATGCAACTGTAATGGTTTACAATTTCAATGTTTTATGTTTTTAAATATAAAAATAATCATATTTGATAGTCCATTACTAATGGACCATTATGGATCACACAATTATTTACCCATAATGTAATACTAGGAAACCCAAGTCCGGCCCTAATCTGGTATCACATAAACGCGTTGGAAGTGATTATAGACAACACCTACGCCTATAACCGGACCGGTATTGTCACAAACGATCTACACTTACGCCAATTGGATCGACACGACTACCGGACACGACTGGCCTGTCGGGCCTCCAGTAGTTCTCTATATGACCCCATCGAGCGGTCAGTGATCATTGATATGAACTGTAAGTACGCAAAATATTTATACTTTTTACGTGTAAATAATAATTTTTACAACTTTATTAACACTAAAACCCCACTGAAATACTGTTAAACATAACCCAAGTTAGACAAAATTTCTAATGTTATTAATTAATTAAAATGAATGTATACAATTAAATAAACTTTATGACACACTCAAGCAAGTTATTTTGGACTAGTGTCTAAAAAGTTGTAAAAATTATACAAAATGTAAACTAGATGTAAATTTACAGTATACTAATAATGGATGTGTAATGTGTATTATAGTGAAACCATTGAGCGCAAAAATTACTACACTATACGGTAGGCCTTTGATCGCCGGCCGAACTTTTGAGTTCCGGTGTCTGGCAGAGGGTTCCCGACCCGAGCCCCGGATAGTGTGGAAAATTGGTGACACTATACTGGCCTCAGACCCGCCGGTGCTCAGCAGCGACGGAAACGGCAGCGCTGAGTCTGTGGTGAAGTTTACGCCCACCGCCGACCACAACGATCGGGAGCTGATCTGTTTGGCCAATAATCCCCTGATTGCCAACTCTTCAGTTGAAGACAGGCTCTGGATTAGCGTTGAGTGTATGTTATGTTATTCACACACAAGTTATGTAGTAATAATGATCATATATTTACCATATAGTCTCGCCTATAATCAACATATCCCTCGACCCGAACCACTCAATCGGCTACGTTACTGAAGGCGATTACATTAGGGTAAAGTGCGAAGTGTTGGCCAACCCGTGGGTCACATTCATTGAGTGGTCGCTGAACGGCAAACGAGTCCAAAACCCTGTGCTTATTGACAAAAATCAGACACTGGTTATCGATAACATACTCCGGGATCAGAGCGGAAGATATCAGTGTACGGCTGGCAATGGTATCGGACGGACCATCAGTCCTGAGCTAAACATTGAAGTTAACTGTAAGTCAACCGTTTTATCATGTTTTAAATTTTATTGATTTTAACCGTTACCCGTCCCGTCCCGACAGATGCGCCCGTTTGCCGAAAGGGACAGCAAATACACTACACGGCTGTCAGAAATCTGGCGACAGAAGTGAGGTGTTTGGTAGACACCCGGCCCGTCGACAGTAGTGTTAGATTCAAATGGTTTGTCAACACATCGGTCGAGACATTTGAGTTGAAGGCGCCGGACGTGAATCCCGTGTCCGACGACCCGACCGCCAGTGTTGCCACATATCGGCCCAAAACGGCATTAAATTACGCGATGATGATGTGTTTGGCAGAGAATAGGGTTGGCCCGCAGGTCGAGCCCTGTGTTTACTATTTGCGTATACATAATGGTAAAATATTTTATATTACTTTTAAAACTAATCTAGATTTATTATAAAACATAAGTTTTAAAAATGATCTGCATTTAGGTTACATTTAGACATTTATAAAACTATTATTATAATAAAAATAAATTATTTTAACAAAAAGCTATTTTTATAATAACATAAATGTTTTGCTTTTGGCCGACAGGTCCGCCGGAATCTGTCCGTAATTGTGACATAACCCACACATCAGCGATAGTAGTGTCCGTCGAGTGTATGGCTGGCAATAACGGCGGTCTTCGGGCCGACTATCACCTCGAGGTCTATCATTCGCTTACAGAGCAATTGGTGGCCAACTATACGGCACTTCAGCCCAAGTTTGTGGTCGAGTCGCTCGCGGCTGACGTGTCCTACAATCTGGTGATCTACTCATCTAACGATAGAGGAAACAGTCCGCCGCTAACCTACCCGTCCGTCCGCTTGTTGCTAACGGACATCAACTTAAATGCTAGCAAAACTCAAAAAGGTACTTGTACAATTAACATGTCTGTTCAATAGCTAATGTTAAACATGTTATTAATAATAACTTATTATACACAATAATTTTAAATACTAATTTTTAAAATTAAATTTTCTAATTTAATTGTCATAGATATAACTCGATTAATGAATAGTCTAATAGGAATAGTGGTATCGATAGTGATATTCACGATATGTGTGGCACTTGTCGTCAAAATCCGGCGATTCATATACGAAGACGAGTATAGAGTGTACGACGACGGCCGGAGCTCTCAGTCGGAGAGTGACGGGTCAGTAGTGTTGTATAATTTTGCCAAATAAATGCCCTCTAATATAATACAAGTTTTATTATTATACACTTTAGGGATGAAAATAATGACCGTGATAGTTTGATGGCAGCTCATGCATCTAATGACAACACTAGCATAGGTATAGTTTTACGCTCCGGGTATTAATGATGTGATAATTGTTTTGTTAAATGTTTTTTTATTATCCAAATGAATTCAATGGATAAGAAAACAATTCAAATGCGGAAAACAATTTACGACTCAATCGATGGAAACGTTTTACCAATCGATTGAAATTAACAAAACGCAAAACTTTTGAGACCAATAGTCGGGGAGTCTATCGGAAAGTAACCGAAACACAGGTATAGTGTGTGTGTGTGAGAGTGAGAGAGAGAGAGAGA